CTGACCAGAAAGTTTTAAATACTGGACTATTTGTGTATTATTTTAGGTGCTCAGCCCACCTAAAAAAATGTGAAAGGGCACACGCACACTGAATATGCTTCTATTTGAATAAACATCAACCATTACGGGAGATTCATTAGGGAAGAGAAAAAGTTAAAAAAAAAAAAACAGAAAAGGAAAATGGAAAGTGTTAATGAATAATGCTAATAGCTGATACTGGCTTATAAACATGACAATCTTCAAAAAGTTTCCTGGCTAAGCTTATCTCATATGTAATGAATGCTGATACTGGAGCAAAGCTCAACTCAGGCCATCAGAGAAACACAGAAGATCTCAGTGACACAGAAAAGTGGAAAGGCGGCCAAGGTCTGTTGAGGGCCTACTGCAAAGACAATAGGGAGCAGGCATTTAGCCTAGCAGTTGAGATGCTCGACTCCCCCATCGCAGTAACTGGCTCAGGCCCCTGGTTCCGGCTTCCTGCTAAACACGCACCCTGGGAGGCAGCAGGTGATGACTCAAGAAGTCAGATCCCTAATGTTCACATAGGAGACTTGAATCTACTTCCCAGCTCTTGAATTGTTCCTGGCCCAGGCCAAGTCATTGCACACATTTTGGGAGTGAACTAGTAGATGGAAATGCAATGCTCCCATGCCATAATAAGTAAAAATTCTATATTAAAGAGGCAGGATCTTCTATTACCTTTTCCCCAGGGTAGTGTTCTATTAGGTGCAATCACTGGGACCAAATGATAGAATCAGGTTTCCCATAAAATGCTAGATAATCACAGAATAGCATATTTCTATAGTGCTTTATGATTTTCCAAGCATTTCCATATGTACTTCGATTTTGGCAGCCAGTGTGTAAGGAAGGCTAATTGTTGTAATCATTCCCAACACTTAAATGGCACCCCCCAAATCCCAGAGCTAAGAAGCCATGGACACAGAACGCAGGAACCAATGCTCATTCACTCCGTTCATTCACATGTTCATACATTCATTCCCTCATTCAACTAATGAGGACTCTGAACTAAAAGATAATTAAGGTCTGGCCTCTACAGCAGGGAAGCCCACAGTTTGGTGAGGCCAAAAGAAGACCACACGCCAAGGATAACACATCCACGAAAAGAGGTGTGCAAGGCTTCCCGATGAAATCAATCCTCAAGTCTGGGTTTTGATGCAGAGAGCAGTGGAGTGACTGGTAAGGAAAAAGACAAGTGTAGGTCATCTAATTCTGCTCAAATAAAATGTGTGTGCGAGTCCTGGCAGGAGCTCAGAGCATGAGGTCAGCGTTGGCCAAATCCTGGCCTTGAATGCCTCACCCTGTGGGCCAAGCTAAGGACAGCCAAGGTGCTCAGGTTCAGAAATCTGCTAATCTCCAAAAAGCTTTCTGAGCTGAGCTCACTCAGATGCAATAAGGCCTGCTAGTGGCAAGTTTCATCTTTTAATATTGTGATGTCTTGAAGCAAGAATGACTCAAGGCCTGGACTTGAATGACTAAATTGTTTGCTGTAGCCTAAGTATGTATATACACATTTCATACACCCACATGGACAGGGTTTCCATCCATACATTCACATAGATGATACAAACCATCCACAGAACCCTATAAACCTCACATGCAGAGATGTCTGAGTAGCGTGCGTGTCTAGACTGATCTCCTGGGACAGGTTCAGATGGAGATGGGTTACCCAAAGAGGTTACCCGTGCAGGCCAGCCATCTGTCCTCCGTGATTCACCCATCTGCCTGCAAAGTAGGCATTCAAGGGAAGCTGGACAAAGTGAACCCAGAGGTCCCTGAGAACTCCTTAGTTTTGTGTATCATGAGCTTACTTGCATGAAGCAGTTGCCTCACTCTCAGTATATAAAATCCCATGACCTTGCTGAAATTATTCTTCTCTGCCATTTTTTGTTTGTTTGTTTGTGCTCTGGCAAAAAAGGTATTACTGATTTCTAAGTCAGACACGGGCAATGTGACTTAGAGAAGAGAGCACTGGATCAAGAGTCAGGAAACCCAGATTCTTTCCTCCAACCACCTTCTTGGAAGGTGACCTTGGGCAATGGACTTCACCGCTCTGGGCTTCTGCTTCCTGTGTGTTAAGTGAAAAGGGTGGCTTGGTGTTCCATGATCCCCTTCCAGATGTAATCTACAAAACCACCTCCTCCCCACCCCCAGGATCCCATTTATCTTCTTGCACTCTAAAACTCAGGACTAAATAAACTGGATTCTGATTACCTATTTCCTCACCAAATAAAATCCTGCTTCCTCTTACTTTCTGAAACCATCCAAACCTTGTATAATTGAAACGATCAGTACCGTCACTGGTGGTTCTGGTTTAAATTATGCATTGCTGCTATTTGGGGAAATCTTAGACTGGGTCCAGTCTGGGATCACTGGCTGAGAACAATAGGCCCCCAAAGTGAGAAGGAGAAAGGCCTCTCCAGACAGGATCTGCTTTTAATGCACTGAGCCCTGGTTTACAAAAAGAGCCTTGAATTGTGTACATTAAAGAGCCACAGAAACAGCCAAAGACTGGTAAAGCTGCAGCAAATTCTCCTAGAAGCCACTGACCTTGGTTGCATTTCAGGGGTCAGGCATTCCCCAGGGAGCACTCGGCAGGCAGGCTTTTCTAAGAGCAGAGGAGCAAGTGAGACTTCTGTCCATGAGCCCACCTCTCTCAATTTGGGAAGGCAGAGCTGATCTGCACTCTGATTTGTGGCGATGACCTCTGCAGCCTCTGGACCCAGTCTGGCCAGCACCCCTCAGCCACCCCAAGGCTGGCCAAAGACCCCCATCCTCTGGGGATGCAGCTGTCTCCACCTGTGCATTCACTTCCTGTGGCCAGCAGCTCCCCAGTCACCAGCCGGAGCTGCTCCCCTCCCTCTTTCCATACCTCCGGCAGGCAGAAAAACAGAAGCAGAGAGCACTAAGCTGGCTGTCCAGGCCACAAAGAGCAATTTCATTAAATCATGCAAAATTCTCCTTTTCGAAGCCAGATCGCACCTGCACGGGTCTCCCCAGAGTGTGAGGGGCTCTGCGAATCAGCCCCCGGGGGGAGCCCTCATGGTGGCTCCCTCACCCGCAGGCTCCGAGCTGGAGGGCTCAGGATCTCAGAAAACCTTCACTAGGAAACAAATCCGAACCCAACTTCAAATCCCAGCAGAGCATTTTCCATTAAGAGAGCAATGTCAAGATTTGGGCTCCCCAGCCTGGCCCATTGTTCAGATGCCTTTCTCCTTTGCGGCGGGCCCCTCCCAGGGTCTCCTCATTCATCCACCTGATTAACTCGCTGGCAGCAACTCCCAGTGCAGAAAGTAGGGCAAAGGAACAGAACACACAGTCCGCAAAGCAGGAAGCCACAGCCCGGGTCCAAGCACCCACCCGGTTCCCGGTCCCCGGTCCCCACCCCCACTGCCCAAGGGGCAGAAAGCCCTGCCTGTGGCTTCTCAGCTCCAGAGAGGCAGCTGAGTGCACTAATGCATGCCCGAGCTGTGGCTGCCTAACTACCGCTACAGCCTGTTTCCAAGAGCATCCCCCTGAAACCTCACCTCAGGGACTCGGGGGACAGGAGGGGGGAGGGGAAGAGGTAGGGAAAGGGAGGGACAAGGAGACCAAAGTGCCACTTTGATCACAGAGGGAACTCTCAAAAATACCCGTGTTGGAAGAGGCCATGTCCGACGTACTAGGGATTCAGGTACCTGGCCGGAGATGTAGCATCCACCTAACAATGTGTTCCTCAGGAGGGCGTGTGAACTTGCACGCCTGACCCTATCTGGCCACGCAAGTACGTGCACTTGCTATTCTTCTCCAATTGTATTTTTGGTTCGGAAGACGAACAAACGGACCTTAAATGGGCGTCCAATCCTTCTCAGGCCCCCTCGATTGCCAGCAGCTTCCCACCCACCCCTCACCCCTCCCTGGCCCGCAGCATCTAATTAAAATGGCAAGAAGAAAGCTCTGCTCCCCTACCCTCCCCCCCAGGAGTGTGCTGAGATTGGGGGTTGGGGAGGGGGAGGCGTCGAGGCTGCCCTGGAACTGTGGTCTCCAAACAACAGCAAAATGGATTCTATATCGCCGATATCTCAGTCGACAGCATGCCACGGCGTCTGAGGTAATGCACGCGGAGGTTCAACGCCAAGCCGAGGGCTGCGGGCGGGAGGTGCTCCACAAAGGACCGGCCGCAGACGCGGGGAAAACACACACACTCCAGGGAGTTCCGGTCCGACTGCGAGCAGCGGCAAACCCATCCCTTTCACCTGCCCAAGTTCAGCCATAAAGCTGACATGCCACAGCCACAAAGTCGGAAAGCACAGGCAGGGCTGGGTTAAAGCCATAAATAAAGGTGAGTGGCAGGCTGGCGTGGAAGGAGGCGCGGAGCCGGAGCCCGGGCGCGCCAGGCGGGGGCGGGGGGAAGGGGCGGCCGCTGCCATCTATGAGACCCGCATAGCAATAACTGCCCCCGTGGAGCAGCAGGCTCGGCCTCGCCGGGCCGGCCAGGCTCACGGTGTCATCTCGCAGGTAGCTGGCGAACGTGAGGGGCCAGCGCCTGTATGCGCGCTGCTCTAGTTTCTGCAGCAAGGGACAGTCGGGTCCCGCGCCCTGGCACGAGACGACCGCCCGGAGCGTGCACACACGCGCGCGCGCGCTCACACACGCACACACGCGCGCACACACACACACACAGAGGCTCGCGTTCTAATGCTCTTACACTGCTCTAAGATGAAACTGCCATAAGCTCCACAAGCTGTTTCGGGGGATCGTCGGCCACAGCCAACGGGGGGGGACACGTTCCGCACAACCCTTGCCATAGAGGCTCAGCCCGGAGCGCCTCGGCAACCCCGAATCCAAGCGCGAATCCCGGGTCGGTCCCCGTCGCATTCTCCGGCAGCTGCCCGTCAGCCCCCAGACCACACACCGACCCCATTCTCCCCCACCCACCCACCCCAACCCCGCCCCCCGACCCAAACCCCTGGGAAGAAATGCGAAAAACGCGTTCTGCTCACCCTCAGAGCCGAGAGATCGATTTCATCCAGGCTGCGAGCCGGGGAGTCGCTCGCCATGTCTACTTCTTCGCCCGAGAAATGGACCAAAGCCACCCCAAAGCTTCTCCCTTGGAAATTCCACCTTGGTCTGTTTCACTCGCGTCCTCCTGCGGGTGTCGAGCCAGAGGCCCCGGGCCCAGCCTCCCCCGCCCACCCCGGCCCCTCAGCGCCCGATCTCGAGCCTCCGTGCGCCGGTCCGCCGGGTCCGGGAGCCCAACCTGCGCGGATCTCCAAGCCCGGAGCCGCGGTGCGTGTGGGCTGCGCGCCCCGATCGGCTAAGGGCGCTGGAGCTGCGTGGGTGTATTTAAATGGGACATGCTTCTTTGCTTGTGCGTGGATGGCGGCTGCATTGGCTGTTATAATGAGACACATCAACTCCTCCACTCAGCTGGGGGGTGGGGGTGGAGAACCACACAGAACTGTCTATCACCGCTTCCTGGGAGGAGTAAAGGGGGGAGGCGGAGGAGGCGTGGTCTCCGACTGGGGAGAGGCCGCGCTTCCTGACCCGGTCCCTCGACACCAGCGTGGATGGGGGAGGGGCGCGCACCCTCCCGCCCAGGCTCCTGCGGGCTAATCGGGGCGGATCGGCGGGGCAGTCCCTGACCCTTGCCGGGCTTATCGCGGGGGCTCAAGCTCTATTTTTGTGTGTCCAACTCGGGCATTGCAGCAAAATGGCTCTTTCCTCGCCTCTTGGGTTTTCTCGGTGGGATTCAAATGCTCTAGAGCTGGGGGGGGGGGGGGGGCAGAAAGGGAAAAAAAAAAAGACAGCGACGCCCTCCCTCCCCCATTAATTATTTGTGGGGCTCGAGTAAGGCGGGCTGGTGCAACCGGTGCATATAAGGACTTGTGTGCAGGGAAGGGGATCCGCCTCCAGGCGTGGAACGAGCCCGGGAGAAGCGCGCACGCACGGCGCGTCCGGCCTGGCGCTTCTGTAATCTGCAGCGGCCCGGGGGTCGGGTCCACCCGCAGTAACCGATATGCCGGACTGCGCCGGTCCCAAGTTGCGGGTTCCTCTGCGGGAAAGCTAGGGAATCAGAGCTCCCTTTCGGATCGCCACACCCAGGACCAGCTCGTGCCGCAGTTCCCCACGAATCGGAACGTAGAAGCTCGTTCTCCGGGCGCAATAGCTTCCAAGCCATCAGGTAACTCCAAAGCCAATGCTTCTTAAGCCAAGCTCGCCGCCCGCGGCCACGGCGTTTCTCTTCCCGGCCGCGTTTCCGCGGGGATCCACCCCAGTGGATGGCGAAAGTTTGACCCGCGGATGAGATGCCAGATGGGCGGGCGAGCGCGCGTTCACCGCACCCACTTTCTCGTTCAGAGGTGGGATGTTTACGGTGGCGAACGTGACATTCTGTCATCGGGAGTGCCAAATCGCCTCCCTCGCCGCGCAGCCTTCCTCTCCGGCCCGAGCCACGGGAAATGCATCGCAAGAAATCGTTGAAAACTGACTTGCTCTCCCCCGCCCCCTTTAAATACAGCAGAGGCGTCGCGAGCGTTCCTAGCCCCTCTGTTAAGGCAGGAATTCGCTTCTGGCCAAGTGCGCTGAGCCATTCTAAGTCATGTAGTGTGAATATGAGCCTCAGAATAAGGCGAATGAATGAATGAATGAATGAAAGCAAACCAGTGCAGCTAGTGCATCTCGCCTGCCTGCATGCATCAGAGGACTTTGAAACAACAGTCGGTGTACGCTTCACTGTGTGTGTTCATAATACTGTGCTGATGAAATGCCTTGTGGATCATACACCCTGAAACCTGCAAATCGACTCAATATCGCAATGGTTTGGGTGCTTTGGCTTTTAACGTTATACGTCAAACGTTTAAACCTGCTATATGACAAACATTTTACTTCTCATTTCCAATAAAATCTTCTAGTTCCATGCACTAAACGACAGTGCGCTAAGCCACCAACTGATGTCAAGATGACATAAAAATACTGTCATTGCCCATCATCACCCTTGTTTTTCCTTCTACTCCTGCTTTTCTTACACTCTAGCTAGATAACAGATTAATGTATTGTCTTAATGGTGAAGGAAAAGCAAATCAGGTACTGATATTTATAAACAACTACAGTTTGTAACTTAAGACATATGAAAACCTACATTTTTTTCCCATGGAAAATCTTCACTTTATAGCCCAGGTTTTACTTGAAATATCACAAACAGATGGAGTCTTGTGATGACAGCAAGTTGTTCAGGCCAGGAGAGGGCCATGATACTGGCATCCAATTCTACCCCCTGGGTTTAGAATTAGGTTAGAAAATTGTAGATGCAGGTCCGTGATAGGGACCACGCAGAGGAATGCTTGGGAGAGCAAGAGAGAGCCAGGGGAAGGCGGGAGGGCTGGCCACCGGAAGTACAGTAAAAGGAAGGATTGCAATAGCCAAGACACTCCAGCTGGAAAGGGAAGGTGAAGAGGAGAAGACCCAGGCCGCTGGGGCTGAAGTAACAAGGGGGACTGTTCCCACTGGAGAAGGCGGCAGAGGTTATCCCAGACAACAGCTTTGCAAGCCCATGAACTTCAACTTTTGCCTTAGGTCAAGTGAGTATCAAGTTTCAAATGTTTCAGTGCAAACTTCTTAATTTTTCCCCTTGTCCACACACTGCCTGTACTATTACTACTTGGTTAACATTTTTTTCTTTAAATCAACACATTTTCTCTTTTTGTTATATTTAATTTAAGAAAAAGCAAATTACTACTGCAAGTGGAAAGCTAGCATTACTTGCTTCAAAGTAAAAAGGAAAGAGGCTACTAAAATAAATATAATGGTAATAAAGCAGTGTTATTAAATTCTAGCTAGCTACCATTGCCCAAATCAGATTTCTAGCCTCAGTCCTGTGCTTAGCTTCTTAAAAGGGAGAATAGCAAGATACAGGCATTTGGCCTAACGGTTAAGCTGCCATTTAGGGTATTCACATCCCACATTGGGGGGCCTGGGTTCAAGTCCCGGCTCTGGTCATGCCAACTTCCTGTAACGTACACCTTGGGAGGCAGCAGGTGGTGGCCAAACTGGTTGAATCCCTGCCACCCACACTGGAAAACAGGATTGAGTTCCCAGCTACTGGTTTGGCAGGGCCCTTCTCTGGCTGCTGGCCTATGGAGAATGAACCTGCAAATAAGAAATCTCTGTCTCTCTCCACCTCTCTGCCTTTTAAATAAATAAAAATTTATGAGCAACAATTTAAAAAATAAATAAATATCAGAATAGCAAATGTCAGGAAAGGCTTCAACAACTTGACCAAGGTGAGATTTTATTGTTGGCACAGTCTGAAGAACTGGGAGAATTGGCACTACTGGTGTGCAGTTTGAAAGCCTGAAGAACAATACAATGTGTTGCCTAGGTCTGCCCAACTCTCTAATAAACTATGGGAAGCACGGACAGGAGCAGGAAGCCCATAGATCGGCCTCTGTGTAGTAGCCAAGGAGATGGAAGAGAAGGGGGCTCCAACAATGGTACCACATTGATTTTTTTTAAATGCTCATATTGCTAAATATTGGGAATTATTAAATCAGGGTGGTTAATAATGAAGATCCTTTACATTGTTTTCTATTTGTATACTTGAAAATTTTTGTCTTACAAAAATATTTATTAAAAATGCTAAAAAGGATTATGTTCCCATTAAATTCAATATTATTTAATGTCACTGCATACTAATTAAAATCACTCTGGAAAGCAGAAACACTGCTTGTGGAGCTTCAAAATGCACACTCCACATATCTCTGTCACTACAAATCTCTACATATTACTAAAATTTTTTTAAATATTCATTAGAGCCCTAAAAAAAAAGCAACATCAATGGGCCAGAGATCCAGATAACTTCCTAGATTATATAAAGCAGGCAGGACTGGTTTGCCGGTTGAGCCACAAACCAGAACTCTAAGGGGTGAAAGTTTAAGCAGCTTCAGACTCCAAGACCATGGCCATAAGGAGAAGGCACATTTATTATAGGGAACAACCAAAGAAAGGCATTCATTCATTCCTTCTTTCATTCATTTCACAAACATATTGGTTGTTTATTCTGGGCAAGACTCAATACTAGGCCCTGGAGATAAAGGCTTGTTAGCACAAAGTCCTTGCATTTGCTGATACAAACAGTAAGTTTGCAAATAAATAATCAGTTCCTGAGATTATTTTATATACACAGTAATACCTGCTTCCAAAAAAAAAAATTAAGCAAGGTAATGAGACTGAGCTGGTGAACATGACAACCCACAACCCCAGCACACACTCTGTGAGCGTAGGTGCTTGGGCCAAGGAATCAGGATGGAACCACAAGGAGCTGCTCACCAATTGCCAGGAGGATTGGGACTACACATACAGTGAGTCCTGCCCTGCACCAAGACCCGTCCTGGCCCCCTTCCCACCGCAGTCAGCAGAGCAAGCAGTCATAATTACTACTGGCCCCACAGGCAAATGAGAGTTCCAAGCACTAAAGAGCAAGCAATCCAGAATCGCCAACTGATGATGGAACTCTATTACTGTGTAAGAGAGGCCCCAACTTCACTCAACACGCAGGATCAATGCCTAAATTTATCATTCTTCCATTTTTTTGTGTGTGTCCTTGACGATGTCTTTCACCAATGTTTAATAACTTTCATTATAGAGACCTTTCACTTCTTTGGTTAAATTTATTCCTAAATATTTTATTTTTGTGTGTGTTTGGCTATTACTAATAGGATTTCTTTCTCTATTAGTTCACCAGTAGCATACACAAGCTGCTGTTTTTTGTATGTTTATTTTGTAACCTACAACTTCATTGAATTGTTTTATCAATTCTAACAGCTTTTGGGTGGCGTGTTTTGGTTTTTCCATGTACAACATCATGCCATATGCAAACATGGATAATGTGACTTCTGTTCCAATTTCAGTGCCCTTTATTTCTTTCTCCTCCCTAATTGCTCTCACTAAAACTTCCAGTACTGTATTGAATAGAGTGGCGAAAGTGGACAGCCTTGTCTTGTTCCAAATCAGAGGGGAAAAGCTTATTATTAATAGAGCAAAGTGGAACTTCGTAATGTATTTTTTATCCTCAGAGAGATAGCAAAGGAGCCTGCATCCATAAAGCAACCAAGTCATTACAAAAATAAACCAGCTGGAGAACTAATTAAGAATATCATTATCAGAATAAAAAACAAATAAATAAATGCTGTGCTGCAGATATTCTTCTAGGCATTTGCTGTGTTCTGTATGTTTGTGTGAGAAATCATACATTGGAAGCTGAGCCCCATGCTGATGGTAGTGAAAAATGGGACATGTTCACTTCATCCACATGAGTGGAATGGATGCCCTCATAATAGAGTCTTTAGAGGGGCCAGCCTTGTGGCGCCTTTGGTTAAGCTACCATCTGCAACGGCAGTATCCTGTTGAAGTTCCAGCGGCTCCAGTTCCAGTCCACGTC